TTTTTTTTTTTTTTTTTTTTGTTTGGGGGTGCGGGCTTATGCCAATGGGTTTGGATTACTTGTCCTTATTACTCCTTTGTACAATTATCAATGCTTTTATGTTTTTATTTTTTTTTTTGAAAACACTTTAGCAATATTTATGAACGGATTGGTTGATGAGATTGGCCAAGAAGCACGTGAAGAGATATTTCACGACACAGACCAGTAGGTGCTCCACTGACGTGCGCAGAGGAAACAAGTACACGAGACACGTGCAGAGACACAACTCCGTAGAAGGAAAGAAGCAAATAAACATGAACACACACACAATTATACTGGAGCGAATCCTTTCCAGGTTTTTCCGGCTCGAAGAAGCAGCGAAGAAGCAGCAATGAAGCAACAAACATGTGTACAGAGATAGATGGGCAGAAACCGACGCGGCTACGTTTGACACACCTTGTATTCTTTGCCAGGCACATATGCTGTCCTCTAATGCGCGTTGAATCCTGTGTCTCCTGCGTGTTTACTTTTACATAGAGAACGTTTTGAAGAGGAACGAAGTTTTTTTTTTTTTTTTTTTTTTTTTTTTTGCATTTCGGTGGCGTGGCGGCGGCGGTTCTGCGTGGCTGCCGAGCACCGCTTCCACCCCGCTTCCATTTTTGTATCATTTTTGTGATCGTCCTTTAACCCTTCCGCATGTATCTCCACAGTACGTGTACATAATAGAGAAAGCGTGTTCGTATTTGTTTCTTTTTTTTTTTTTTTTTTTTTAACAAACTACCCAAAATACCACGAGGGACGAGACTTGGCCCTTCTGCTTTATACGCAACGGTATACTAAGTGTAGAAAAAAAACAGGACAAAAAAAAAAAGAGAGAGATGAACGTCTTATTCCTAACGCGGTGCTGCGTTGGGCCTTTTACCGCTTGGGTTGTTTGTGGTAACCAATTCGCTGTCCGTCATCGGTACAACTACTTTCTTTCTTTTTTTTTTTTTTTTTTTTTTTTTCCTTTTTGGATTAAACTATAGAGAAGGAATACATAGTGGCACTGTTTAGGGTTCGCCTCCTCATCATCTAATTTTTCACAGAAAAAAAAATATATATAATTATAATTATCCTCATGTCGGTTCAAGAAATAACCTACGGAGTGATCCCTGTGTTGGCATAACATATTTTTTAACTACTAAGCAGGAGCAAAGGACAACGGTTTTATATGCATATTGCATGGCCATGGCGCATTAGCATCCGTATGAGTATCGCGCAGTTTTTAAGTGCTTTTGAGGGGGCAAACGCAACTGGGGCTTCAATGGCACCGGAGCATCATATTGGTACATTCACAATGCGCGCTACAGGAACACGATTCGCCCTTTATATGCGGGCGGGGCCTATATATAAAAACATATATATATTATTGCATGCGTTGTTTATGTTCTGCGGGGTGCATTTGCTGCTTCATTTGAAGAAAAACCAGCCCACCGCGGTTTGGAAAGAACAAGTGCGAAGAACTTGCAATGTCATCAATATTATATTTATATATATATATATATGTATTTTATTTATTTTATTTATGTTATTTATTTTTTTTTATTTTATTTTATTTTTTTTTTTCCCTTTTGTGCTTAATTGTTTACCAGAAAAATAATATAGAACTATAGCAGAGAAAAATCGCCCTGTCGGCATGCTTAAAAAATTTATTTAAAAACTGTATATTTTTTTTTATTCGGATATGGTTACAATTTTTGATCCTTTTTTTTTGCGTACCTACAAGAGAGCGCATATATACTATTTTTCTCGTATGGGTTGTAGGTGAAAAACGCGCTGTTTATTTCTTGTGATAAATTGTAGCAGACCTCTACTCATATTTGAGCACGGTTCATTTTGTCCGCCACGCCCTCATTTGTAGAGCGTTAAAAATAACGTTGTTGGTTTTGTCACCCGGCCAGGTTTGCATATTGACCTGGGACAGCATCTTCTTTTCTGTGAAACTTTTAAAGCTGTTTTTTTTTTCTGTCCCTTTTTTTATTGACAACTGGTACGAAACGCCTGTTGGGATTTATATTTGCACGGCGGTTCTGTGCGTCTCCCGATTAGAATCGCGACGTATATACACATAATCTTGTATTTGCCCCCGTTGTATTTTTGTTGCTGATAAATTTGATCCACCTGTTGTTATATATGTAAAACTGCACAAATTATGAGCCACGTTTTGTACATGGGGAAATTCCCTTTATTTTGATGCACATGACTCTGTAACTTTGGATCAACGCCATTTGAGGTTTTTTTTTTTTTTTTTTTTTTTTTGTATATAATATTTATTTGTATATATTTATTTATATAAATTATTATTATTATTATTATTTTTAATTATTTCCCCGTTTAATTATTATAATATTATTATAATATTATTATAATTTGGTTGTTATTTTTTTTTTTTTCGTACAGAAGGGTTTATCTACACTTTTGGCCTTCTGTTCCCCCCTTTTTAGCGTAGGGCAACACTGGGCTTGCTGTTTAACACCCTACCAAAGCATTTTACAAATAGAGCGAAAGCAGACCTACTGCGTGTCGTATTATGTACGTGTATGTATATATGTAGCTTTTATTTTATAATTATCCGCCCCCATTTGTCCTTCCTTTTTTTTTTTGTGAATATTTTTTTTGATCCTTCTCTTGTTCTCTGTGTCCCCCTGGGAATGAACGAAAAAGTTGTTCATCGTGCTTAACACAGTTCCTGCATCCACATATCCCTAATGGTCGATATGATGTGGGCAAAATGTTCTGAATCCTCTGACAATGAAAGGAGGAAGAAGGGACAAGTACATTTGTGTATCTCTGGTGGTGTTGGAAGTAGGTGTGGAAGTAAATTTTCCGTTTCTGCACCGGTGGGTTTTTTCTTTTGCTGCCTCCTTTGTCTAGTCTGCCCAGTAAGTGAAGAGATTGTTGAGTTAGTTAGCGGCACGTAAATGTACGTGTAAGTACCCGTTGCACTGTTGCATGTTTTTTTTTTTTATTTGTTTTTGCCTTTTGTTTCCCCACTTCGCAGTACCTTCTAACACAGGATTGTGCAGGGCATAACCGGGCGTGTAGTTCTCCCGTGTGTAATTCCCCCGCATGGACGTCCCCCGAGTGGAGGCCCACCCCACGCTCATCGAGAAATCTCTCTGAAGTGGTTCTGCGACAGTTGGAGAAGTACATTGACTCAAGTAACATAAAGCTACTTGAAAAGAAGAAACCAGTGAAGACCCCGCCCATAAGCTGCACGCCGGAAACGGAAGATAAAATAGAATCCCTGAGGAAGGAGCATGAAAAGAGCATCAGCGAGGAGGGTACCGATATTGTGGAAATTGAAATCAGCGATAATAAGGAAAAGGTAGAGGAGAAGGATAAAAGCGACACACAGAGCCAAGTGCAGCATGAGAATGTGTTAGAGAAGGAATTAACGCAGGAAGAATTTGACACTATGGTGGGGATACTACGTGGGTACATTGAAGTAAGAGATATGTATGCCCTGTGGAACTATGTGAAGAAGAGCGGGCGAGAAGAATATTTGAAGTTGAAAGAGGAGCTGTGGAAGGACTGTGAAAATATGTCTTTAACCTACAACATCCCAGAAGAGCTTACAATGAAGGAGTGGAAAAAAGCTTACCAGGACTTGAAGGACAAGTTTCGTACAAAGGTAAAGGACGATTATGCAGACTTGAAAGTGTTTATAGATGAAGGATGTAACCTTCGCTGGGAATATATTGCTTTCATTATTCAAAAGTATGAGTCGTGGGAGGATTTTGTGGACACTGCCAAGGAGAGCTGGAAGAAGTCCCTATCGGAGATATTTGAAAAATATGTGGAGGATGCCCAGGAGAAGAAAATTGAAAAGACCCCAAAGACTGGCACCAAGGTTCATTGTGACAACAAGTATAATGAGGAGAACAAAATAATGGTTAGCGAGATATTGTCATGATGTGGGTACGTGTTGTGGAAGGTTGGAGAGAGAGAGAGAGGGTTGATCCAGATTGTTTTTTTCCTGTTTGTTAAATTTTTTTCTTGTGATTTTTCCGTGACCCCTTTTTTTATGTGTTGTGTTTTGTGTTATGCACTTGCGTGTGTGTTGCGACATGGGTCAAGCTTCTCCAGCGGGTTGCTACATTTGTGATGACCTTTTTTTTTTTTTTTAATTTTTTTTTTTTTTTTTTTTTTTTGTGCTATTAACCTTTTTTCACCATACCAATCCTCGATGAAAAAAAAAAAAAATACAAATTAAAAAAAGACATACACGCATCGCACATATATATATATATGTGTTTTTTTTTCGTGAACGTTGACCCGCTGTACATGGAACAAACGAGCTGACGAGCCGATGAAGGGAAAGGGCCCTTAAGCGAATGCAAGAAAAATTGAACTCGCTTGTTCACACAAATGACAGTGCCTGTGAAGGCAAGTAACATGGGTAGGGGGGGTGAGGCTTAACAGGCACAATTGCAGTGGACCACCAAAATGGAGTTAGCAATTTTTTTTTTGCGAGCGTGTCCACTGCATGATTCACAAATGAATCGCTTCCCGTTATTGTGAAATTTGGGTCTCAGCGCTACCTTTTTTAAAATCGGTCGAGTTTTTTTGTGTGTCACTTCCCTTTGCACGCTTGTTATAATTTTTTTTTTTTTTTTATAACTGAACGATGGAATTATTTTTCTTTCTTTTCATTTATGTTGCAGGTGGGCGGTTCCTCTTGCATACACACATGCATGGATAAGAAGGCCAGGGCAGTTTCCCGCACAGGAGTTATCACTATGTTATAATTTCCTTTACCCTACTCAATGCAAACCCTCGGGCTGTTTGGTTGGGCATGCACCGCAACGTGACAACATGCGTTTTTTTTTTTAAAAAGAGTAGTGCGAATTTTTCTGACAGTTTAAGGAGAACAAAAAAAAAAAAAAAAAAAAAAAAAAAAAAATGCATACATAGGTACGTACATAAATACATATGCGTTGCATGTGGTCATATAAAATAAGAAGTTTTTCCATAGCATAAAAATGGAGGTCCATTTCTCGACCGCAAAATGTGAGGAATGCTTCACCATGCGCGCAGCCTCCTTTATGAAGACCAATTTGTCGCAACGGTGTTGCCATTTTTGCACCATCATGGAGGGTCAAGAAAAAACAATAATAAAAATAAAGGTCAGAAAAATAAAACTTCGAATATAATACTTAGAACAAATATTTTATTGGAATTATCATTTTCGGCTTTTATATTTTCTACACAGGGTTTTATTATTATTTATTATTTTTTTTATTTTTTACCCTTTTAAGTGCAAAAAAGAACTGTTCTAAAAAAAAAAAAAAAAAAAAAGCTCGAGCAACTAGCTATTTATTTATTTATTATTTTTTTTTTTTTTTTAAAGCACTATGTTTTTTTCAAAATGGCGATCTGTGTGTCGCTTTTTCAGCTTTCCTTAACTTTGCAACTCCTACTTTTTAATAGTCGCTTCTTTGGCAATTTTTATTTTTCTGAACTATTAGAAATACATTAGTTGCCATTTAAAAAGAAATGTTCACCCATCCTAATTTAAGTACCAATTTTAGAGAATCACATTTTTCTGTTTTCGTTTTTATCACAGAACAACGTGTTCGCATCTCTTATTTAGGATAACATTTTGAAGTAGCTGCAAATAGCACCTTTGCTTTTTTTTTTTTTCTTTTCTGGAGAAAGGTATGTGTTGGGTAGTAGCCTATCGTATACGAACAGAGGAGGCACACTTGTTTTCTCTCCCATATTAGCGTTAGAGTAAAAGCGTCTGGAGAGAGTGCAAAATGGGTTTAGGTTCACCCAGCTCTAAAACGGCAAATTCAATATGCACGCTTGACACGAAAAACATGTAGCGTTAGTGGGAAGAAAAGTGTGGCCCTATTTTCTGTGTCACGTTTTTGACTTGTTTTTCATTTAATATAAAATTGTCCCGATTTTTTCTATGCTACATTGTTCCCTTTATTCACCCCTACACCCCCAGGAGTAGTCCCCTAACCCTTCACAAGTAGCAGGCCGTGGTGGCAACACAGAAGTTGCTGTAGACTGAACGAGGTCTTCCCCTTGAATGAAAGGCGAAAAAAAAAAGTGACACATCGGAGAGTTGTCTCCTTTAGAAAGGAAGAATAGAAGGGCAGGAAAAAATGGAAGTACACGTTAGGTTTGCAATTTTGGGTCTCCTGAACATGTTGTTGGTGACGTTCATTTTTCTGTTGATACATCAGGTGGGTGCACTAGTGTTAGAATATTCCACATAATGGACGATTTCCTTCTCTCCGCCTCCCTTTGCTGAGTTGTTTTTCTAAATGAATAACTTTTTTTTTTTTTACCCCTTCCCCTCATACAGGAAAGAGGCCTAAACGGAGAATCGCTAAGTAGTACCACGGAAAGATGTACACAATTGGGTCAGAGAAAACTAGCGGCATGCTCTCCTCCAAGTCCAATGAACAATGAATTGAATGAAGACGATGAGACTCCTGGGACGAGCAGCGCTAGTAATAACCCCGGACATGGGAAGGGAAATTATATGAATGAGCATAATAGTATGAACAATAAAAAAGGCAATAATGCAAAAAATGCAAATGCAATAAATTATGTGTATAACGATATAGAAGACACATATGAACTCCCTGATTATAACATGATAAAGGAAAATGAAAGGAGACTAAAGGAGGACTATGATTTGAGTTCGTACGAAAAGAATGAAAATGAATTTTTGCGACACATATCTGAGGGTGAAGTGAATGAAAGGATTAAGAAGTTAGGAGAGTATGTAAATGTGAAGGAGATGTTTATTATATGGAACTACATCAATGGGTTCGAAAGAGCAAAATATATTAACATGGAGAAAAATATGATTCAACATTGTGAGGACCTTTCTTCCACTTATAATGTTTCAAAAAAGACAAAGACTAAATTGTGGACTACGATTTACTACTACATGAAGGATGAGATGTTTTACCAGGAAAGGAAATTACACAAGGCGCTATACAACTTCCTGGACCAGGGGCCAAGTCCGAAGGGGCTCTTTCTAGAGTTCATTGATCAGACGATACGTTCCTGGAGAGACTTCCGCAGGGGCGTAAACAAAATCTGCATGGCTATGTTAAACTCGACGGTGAAAGGGGATTCATCGGGTGGTGTGTCGTTGCAGCGTGATGGAGTGGCGTGATGAAGAGGCGTGACGGTATGTTTTTTTTTTTTTTTGCACCTTCCCCATGACGCTTCCAAGTTGGGACCTTAGCCAAATAAAACCATAATGACTGCCCATTAGACATTCGCCATTCGTGTATGAGAGAGATCGCAGTGCAGGAAGATGGATTGAACATCATTTAGGTGACCTGGTTGTCGCTACCCACTCGCTTCGATGCATGAAGCACATGAGCATAACTAAGATGGAGACAGAATACTTCACCGTTTGCAGTTTTTTTTTTTTTTTTTTTTTTTTTTTTTTTTTAATTTATTTTAACTCCATTGGGTCAGCATTGGTTGACACATAATCGAATCTCTAACTGTGTGGACGGCAGCAGTTTATTTCTTTTTCCCATTCTGGTGATGCTAATTACGAGTAGACTTCTTCCCGAGACACACCATCGCCAGAATGGGACTTGCCTGACCAGGGCGGTAATATATGCATTAGAATTACGTGGACAAAGGGGGTGAAAAAAAAGGGAAATATTCCTGGGGGGGTCGATTACCACGGTTGGGGCTATTTCGTCCTCTATCCTTTTTTCTGCACAAAACGGTGGTTACTGCCCTTCCACAGGGAAAGTGGAGGTTAGCACAATTTTTCATAGTCCCCTCGGACTAGTTAACGTGGGAAAATGTTTCATTCGTGAAAATTTGTACTTTGCATTTGTTTTTTCTCTCCCTGGGACTAATTGTTCAATATGCGAAAGGAAGCAAAAGGAGTTCCTTCTCGTTATTAAGAAAAAAAAAAAAAAAAAATTGTCAAAAATGGGATAAAGGAAAGAAATATAGGAATTATGCAAATTCGAGAGAAAAAATAAAAAATAGGGCCAAAAAAAAGTAGTGGCGAAAAGAAAAAAAAAAGAAGCGGTTCACTTCTAAAACAATTCGCGCTTTACAACAGATTTGCTGTCGTTCACGGGGCAACATATATGTCGTGGATAAAATTTCATTCGTTGCTGTTCTTGTTTTGTCGAGTATTTTTTATAAAAGT